TCATATTTGTTTTACTTAAAGATTACAATCTGAAATGAATGAACTAGGAATAGAATATTTGTAATGACAATCTCTTCCTGTCTCTCACCACTCCCTGCAGCCCTGTCAGCAGTCTGACCCCCAGCTCAGGGATGTCAGAGGACCTGGACCATCAGGAGATCCAGCTGGCTCTGCAAAATGCAAAGTTGGCCGCCAGGAACAAGATCCGATCACGCTTCCACAGCAGCAGCGACCTCATCCACCGCCTCTTTGTTTGTATATCAGGTAAAAGCTCTCACGATGTCAGTCGAGAGAACTCTCTTTTCTCTCGTGCTGATATCCATTGCGTGTTCTGGTGTGATGCAGGCGTTGCTGATCAGCTGCAGACCAACTATGCTAGTGACCTTCGCAGCATCCTCAAGACTCTGTTTGAAGTCATGGCAACAAAGTGTGAGGAGGGAGACGACGATAACCACAAGAAAGGTGAGATACACGTCTTGAAAGGGAATGTTACTGTAAATTGCCACTTTTAAAATATCGATAGAAGAGCCTTAGTGCGACTAAAACAACATTTGAAATGTCTTCAACTGAACTACGAGAAAATAAATGTGTTACTGGTCCAGAGGCCATAGCAGACAAACTTTATTGCCTCTGTTGCTCAAAATATTAAATCTCCTTGTAACGATTTGATATTTAGCTATAAGTATTTTCAGCACATAATTGTTGAACTGATCCGTCATCGCAGCATCACTCAATACCACACTTCACCCTATTCATTGACAAAAATATTTGTTGGGCATTTTGTTTTTCCAACACAACAATACATATACAAATATATATACCCTCTCCCCCGTTCCAATCCCCCTCCTCCCTCTGTACATTCTTCTCCCTCTGTCAGTGATCTTCATTTAATGCTCAGTACACCGGTTTGAGTTTCTTCTTCTGTGGTGTCCAGCAGGTCCTGTTCTGCGTAATGCCGTGCTGGAGGACTGCGCTCTCTGTCAGGAGACCATTTCTTCCTCGGAGCTGGCAGCCAAGGCCCGGGAAGGCCAGTTTGAAGGTCAGAAAATCAACAAACAGAACCACTCTGGGTTTAGATTATTACTACATTCCTTCCCTCCCTTTGCTCTGCAGCAGGTTTGCTGGTGGTTACAGGCTGACTTAGTGTTAACTGTTTCTCTCTTTGTAGACCCTCCAGACTGGGTCCCTGATGAAGCCTGCAACTCCTGCATTGCCTGCAAGGCTCCCTTCACTGTCATCCGCAGGAAGCATCACTGTAGGAGCTGTGGAAAGGTACAGTGACTCTCAGTCTGAGGCAGTGTTGATCTTGATTTAAAAAAACTACTAAATATATTCGTCATCAACCTTTTTTTTCATGTCTAAGACAAGACAATGACGTCCTTTAACACGAACTGTGACTATATCAAAATGCAATATTGTTGAAAAAAACCAGGACATGACATGTTGTTTGTATATTACAAAATTCACAAAAAAGAGACAAAATATTATAAACTGTTCGTGCTCATTGCTCGAGTACAGTGTGCATGCACCGTAAGATAAAAAAATTGAAATATAATTTTCAGTTAAATGTGTAGTTGATCCAGAAACTAACACATTACATTCTTTGTCATTTCAGATCTTCTGCTCTCGCTGCTCCTCCCACTCTGCTCCTCTCCCGCGGTATGGCCAGGTGAAGCCAGTCAGGGTTTGCACACACTGCTACATGTTTCATGTCACGCCTTTCTACAGCGACAAGGCCGGCATCTAAACTCAGCATGTCCCCGAAAGCACAAAGTCCGCCACAACAAGCATATGCAACGAACAATCCAGGGCTGTGCACAAAGCAAATGCCACACTGCTCTGGAAAACGTAATGGTCGTCATCGTATCTGCTCAGCAAGGCTGCAGACGGAGGCCATTACAGATGACAGAGCAGAGCCAAGAGACACGCAGACTCCAGTGATGATACGACCCGCTGCTTTGGAGAGACTGGCTGCCAAAGGGTTTAATTTCAGAGCCCAGCCAACACACAAAAATGATTCACAAATGCCTGTCTGACTGAAGAGGCGCAAAAGAGAGAGGGGATAAACAGGCAATAACAGATTTTGAACTGGCAATGTGCATCAGTCCTCTGTAGCAGCTTGCAGCACAAAATCAGAACGTGCCACCTAGTTTGTTATGTTGCTTTGGGTGAAAATGAAAGGACTTGTGACATATTTTCCTATGCTTTTACGAGCTTCCTACATTTGTGCCAGGGTTCCTACGGGACATGGATTACTCAAAAGAATGTAAGTCATGATTACTATGTAAATAAGGATATTTCTGGTTAAGCTACACTACAATGTCTCCAGTAAAGAATTGCTTTTTATAAGGGCACTAGAACGCAGTCTTTACCAGGCTACCAGTCCCAGTAAAGCAAGAATGACAAACAGCTTTTATACTGCGATTCTTTCATGCTTTTAATGGCAATGAATGTGTTAGTCTGTATCACTTTGTGAACCGGCGTCTAGGTTCCAACAAGTTGCACCTCTTGATGGCAATGGGCTGTGCCCGATGCTTTTACAGTTGCACCACGGCATGTTTAGTTTTCTCTGGGGACTCCGCTGCACACTGATGGATGAGAGGGATTCCTTAGTCATCGCTGTCAGGATCTTGGAGGCCCCCTAGTGGAGAGTTGACCTGTCTTCGCTCCATGTTTGTTCTGAACCAGAGGCCTTCTCAGGTGATGGCCTACAGACTACAGGCCGATTATTGCCCATTGATTTCTCTTCCTCACACTTGTTATAGTGCAATATTCTGACTACTAACAGCAATGGTCCTGCATATTTTAGAGACAACACTAAGCTATTTAAATTGTATTTATAGGCCAATTCTGATCAATTACGCTGTTTTGGGTTTACATTAAATTATTTCAAGCTTTAGCTCTGGTGATACTTTGAGTGAATATTAGGTGATTTTCTTTTCAGACTGACATAATTTATACCTGACTTCCTTTCTGCTCTTGAATCTGCTTCCATTGCATACAAGGTACCCTCCATGCTCATCATATATCACAATGTGCACATCTAAATGGACGGAAGTGTCCAATCTACAAATATGGACCTTGGAGCAACATAAATGACACATCCTGTCCATTCTGCTCATTCTGCTCTGACATAAAGCAGTTCTCAGGCATTACATAATCAACATCCTTCACGAGTCTTGGATCAATTTTATTTTCATCAAAGAACATATAAAGTAACTTTGAAATGTTTTTTTCCCTTTTATAAAGCTATAAATACTTTAATGTAAAATACAAGGAATCATGCAGTAATTAAAAGGCAGGTTATCTTATTGTTTCAGAGCTTGGTCTTATTTTGTAAAATTCAAGGACATTTCCATGATAACAGCTGTGTAAAATAATCAACGAACAAATAATGTTATATAGTTTTAAATGCGATGTATATTGAAATAAATTACTTTTTCCTGTATAAAGTGTCGACTGATGACTTATTCTCTTCCCTTTTACAGCAAAGTACCATTGGGATTCTGCTTTGAAATGTGTCAGTGCTTACTGTCCAATAAAGTCTATTATGCATAAAAAGCCAGGTCTATGAGTAAAGTCATATTGACGTAGAGCTTCACATGCTATAAAGTGTTATCAAATCAAGTTATCAATACGGTTGATTCAAGAAATGCAACTCAAATGTCACTTGATTTGTATCCAATCACAAACTGATTGTTTTTTAGGCGACAGGAACTGTTGGTTGAAAGGTGTAATAGTTACATTTTAATTTGAAGTTAGACTAAATGAATATTTTCCAAAGATGTTCTTTAACAGCCTGAGGCTTTCTGAGGTTCCAGTTTATTTTCTGCCACTTGAGTAGTAATCATGGGCCTACTCATCAAATGAGCAACACCCTCCCTAACTGAATTTCTGAGTTTTATAGGGAGCTGTAATGACACATTATTCAAGCTTCAGTTTTTCCACATAACTTAATACAGTGTACTTGTCATGAGGAACCACTTCAGCCTGTGAACATAGTCGTTAACTTTCCTCTGTGGCTCTGGAGGGAGTTTTCTAAAGAAAGTTGTTCTTATCATGGCCATGCAATGAAGATAACACTTTTAAAACAGAATGTTTGTGCTACAAACATGGAATGGAACATGGGAATGGAGATTAAAAGATGTTTACCAGACATGGAGGGGACAAATAAACTGTGCTGTTGGTTGTACTTTGCAGTGTTTGTATGATCTGGGGTTTTTGATGCCTCAGTCCTACTAGAGACCAAAAGTCAGGATGTCTCAGTCTTTGCTGTTTTATTTGAATTTTCACAAAAATGGAAGATATGATCCAATTGTAACAGAACACCATACTGGACAGGCAGAGAAACCCTTTTCAAGAACCCAAAATTCAGCACTAGATTGGAGGCAAAAAGAGCAGTCCCACAACTAAATGCTTCTAACAATATAATAAGTGAATATTGCTGGGGAATCTCTTGAGTTATTGTGGAAACTGATCTGTTCTCTATGGTGACCACTAGATGGCATGACTTCTTTATGGCGTGGTAAAGTAATACAATTGTGTTTATCATATTCACAGCTCAGAGAGGTACAGTAGCCTACTTAACTATTTATTTTACTGTATTTACCTTTAAAACATTTTTTTAAGTTGTTTTATTCCAGACGTGGTTTGAATATCACATTCTTAATTAAATACTTTAAAATTGAGTCTGTCAAAAATAACTAACCCTGCTAAAAGGGTTTTAATCTAATTTTGGAGAACAGCACTAACATATTTATTTGTAATACTCTCCCTTTGCCATGAGGACTTCATTTTGCAGTGTTTTGGTGTGGTATGCTTTTTAAATCTCTACAGCTGTTATCTCTTTTCTCGTACATCAGGCTGACAGCGGTGAGGATGATGGCCTGTGATGAAGAAGTGTGTGTGCCAGTGCCTGTGCTGAAGAGGTGTGTGTGGCTGAGAGATGAAGAGTTAAACGTGTCCGGCCTCCGCGGCTGTGATTGGCCCGCAGCGGCAGCGCAGGGACGGACAACAAGCCTCCGCTGTGTGCGCACTGTGGAAAAGTCACTTGGTGGACGAAGCGGAGTACACAGCCAACACAGAGATTTCAAACATTAGCGTATGATACTTTTCTTGTGTTTCATGGAAGTATCCGGTTTTATTCCGTCTTTGAGTCCGTTATTTTATGTAGGAGACAGCGGCGTGCTGCACCGTTAGAAGTCGGTGAAAAGTCGACCACTGTCACTTTTGATTCATGGGCTCAACACGGACTTCAGCTAAAAACACTTCTGTCAAGAGCCTGAGGAGAGGTTGACTTCATTCATTGAATATCCAGGTATGTTATCGACATTATAATGCTGACCTTTCCTCCATTTTGTTGTAAAATGTTTTTATTTACATGCTTACCCGAGCTACAAGTGAGCAGCATCAGTGTTCCTCTGAGCAAAGATCAACAAACTAAAACTGAAGTTCACATAAAGTGGTATTTATAGTCCTTGGTTAGCAATTTGAATATATGTAGCCAACATATAAATCACTTTTTAACTTTATAAGGACCCTAAAAGTATGTGGACCCCTATAAAAAGTCCCAAATAGATCCCAAAACTGATTCTCTGTTGGAGGGAATAATCACTGTCACATTATGTTATGGTGCTTACGTTTTGATCATGTATTGTAATAGATTTATAATGCTTTTTTTTAAATATTGAATCTAACCTGAATTATTTTCGGGTTCATTTTAGACCCTTAACGGACTGCAAAAAGTCCCAGGAGTCTGAAAAAATAAAGTTCCTCAAAAAACTTTGTCCATCCAAAGAAAAGTTTTTAGTGACATGAAAATCCAGTTGCAATTAATAATAGTCCTATATGTATTGACTTGTGTGTATCATGCTGTTTTATTTCATATAAGTGTTGTAGTATGTTTGTTTTAAATCATACTATGTGAAATGGCTTCCTTTCACAACAAAGATTATTTTCCCTACATCCTCTGATAGCTCCATGGAGAATAATGTGCATATACCCTGTGTCACTGTGACCGTGTGTCTTTCAGATTTAGGGGACATGAAGTTATCTTTGGACAGCATGGGCTTCCTGAAGATTGTGCTGTTCATCTTCAAGGTTGTTTTACTGACCGACTGCGCAAGAGGTAAGAGACTTTCCTCATAAATGTTCCTTTCAGCCTTACTAGTATTGCGTGTTTCAAACCTGGAAGTGAACACCACATTCATAGCTCATTATAACTCAAGTTGACTGGCCGGTTTCTTGTGAGCATGAAGAAAGTCTCAGAAGGCCCTTAACGTTTTCGAACCGAGAAGTAAGAGACGGAAAACTAGGAACTAAAAAAAAAATCTCTAAACATGGCCCAAAATCAACACCGGGCAGGGGAATGAGAGAGGGCAAGCCAACCCCCTACCCCTAGTTTGTGTGTGTGCACATTCACTAAAGCTAAACCAAACAAACATCATCCATCAGCTTTAACACGCTGTCGCTGAGGCATTGATAAAAGTCATATTGCCTCAAACTACTGTGTGTGTGTGTGTGTGTGTGTGTGTGTGTGTGTGTGTGTGTGTGTGTGTTGTGTGTGTGTGTGTGTGTGTGTGTGTGTGTGTGTGTGTGTGTGTGTGTGTGTGTGTGTGTGTGTGTGTGTGTGTGTGTGTGTGTGTGTGTGTGTGTGTGTGTGTGTGTGTGTGTGTGTGTGTGTGTGTGGTTGTGTGTGTGTGTGTGTGTGGTGTGTGTGTTGTGTGTGTGTGTGTGTGTGTGTGTGTGTGTGTGTGTGTGTGTGTGTGTGTGTGTGTGTGTGTGTGTGTGTGTGTGTGTGTGTGTGTGTGTGTGTGTGTGTGTGTGTGTGTGTGTGTGTGTGTGTGTGTGTGTGTGTGTGTGTGTGTGGACCTCAGTCACTGCAGTGTGTATTGTGCCAGTATCAATACTTTTCTTTATAAAGACAACTTACAGTAAGCTTGTCAACAGGTCATGAACAACTGTCGAGGCAATTTCTATGATTTCATCCACCATCACTGGCTATTGAACCGTGTCTGATGCAATCCAGCGGCATGAGTCAAAGACCGAGCCAAAACTTGAAACTACACTTTAATGAAAGAAATCTGAAAGCCAGACCCATTTCCCCCGGAAGATCACACACTGGTACAACAAGCAGGCTCCATAGCGCTCTCTTTCTTCTCCTGCTCAGCATGGGAGTGAATTCAAGAGGCGTCTGATGGCTACAATACCTGCATGTGGCTATCAGGGCTCAAGGTAGAGGAGGCAGGAGGGGGTTGACGGCAGTTTAGAGGGGGAGATTAGATCTGTGGGTCTGCAGACAATGCCTTATTCACAGCGTGGCAGCCATGCCTTCACGGCACGACTAAACCAAAAGTAAACAAGACGTGAGGGCTAAATAAGATTAGACAGGCAATTTTGTATGTTTACAGATTAACAGATGTCACTGCGGGAGGAATCCAAATGGGAACGTGGAGGTCCAATGCATGTTAACTGAATTAATGGCTGAGAAAAGGAAGAATTTGCTGCCTGTTTTTCAGAGTTTCCCTGAAAGTGGTTGCATATGCACAGACGGATAGACACATCAGAAAATATGTAGTTGGCAGTGAGATGATTTTGAATGATGCTTGACAAAACTGTGAAGAGTAAATATTCCACAGTTCTCCCTCCAGCAGCAGCAACAGCAGCAGCAGCAATACAGTGAGCTCTGTGTGACAGTCCAAATGCAACAGCTTGACTCTGACAAGCTGTGAAATACAGTCGGGGGTTTGACTCGAAACTTGTGCTGTTATAGTGCAGCCGAAGCCTGTAAAATGTAACAATGCATGATGACATCTTTGACAAATGTAAATTCAATTATAAACGACAGGCCCCCGCTGACTTGTGTGTGAAACAGTAAAAACACATGGGAAGTGTTACTTACCAAACATTTCAAGTCAACGCACCAGAAGACAGTGAGTTTGGGTGAACGATTTTAAGCCTGTTGCTGTCAGTCATCGGGCGACATCTGACCCTGGACCCCCTGCCCACACACACACGCACATATGGACCCTCCCTCTCTCCACTGCCACAACTTTGCGACTGGCCAAGCAAGAATTATTCCTTAAGACCCCCGCCCAGAGGAACCCCTGCACTTCCTCTCCATCCCAGCGCCTTCTTTCCTCCCCCTCTGGTGTCGGGCCACCCTCAGCAGCTGGAGGAGGTGCTCAGTGATGTGTCCCAGCAGAGCCTCTAATGTGGTGACAGGCCCGCTGGACCACTGGGCTCCACCAACTGAAGAATGCAGCAGCCTGGACATATGGATCTGCAGAAATGCACCCTGGGAGAAACACAGAGGCACCAGGTGTCTAACAATGAACACACACACTCACTGAATAGTACTATTTTGATGCGTTTTTAATTAGATACAGGCATCAAGTACAGTGTGTGTTTGTGCATGTATGTGACTCAGCTTTCATTTCTTGTTTTTTTATCACACACATGTTTGCTTCACCTCTGGAGCCGCTTCGCCTGGTGGAGTTAAGAGCATGCAAACCGCTCTGCAACCCCGTCGGAAAATATACATTTTTATAGGAGAGTTACATCATGGTTTCATAACAAGAAGGTACAATGAGATAAGTTGTATGCCAAAGGCTTTTAAAATCACAAGGCTATTTGGCTCCCAGACAGTTTTCCACTTCCTTAAACCATAATGAGGCTCGTTTCTCAGTAACCAAATGCCCCAAAGTCCTCTTATGTTTTAAATAGCTCCTGAATAGTCAGAAAGTGTAAAAGTGGTTTTCTGGCTTGTGAGCTAAGCTGTTTATTTTGTTGATCATTTAGCATGGCTGTTCTGCTGTGTTTTATACAATCCATCCCCAACACACACACTTCAATGCTCCATTCAGAGTTTTAGGAATAAAATCAGTTTCATGAGATGCTTAGTTTTAAAGTAAGTAAAACATTTCTCATCTTCTACTTCACCTCTAGTCTCAGTGGCTCTTCAACACATCACCTCCAATGTTCTCTTTTGCAAAGCAGACACTTCCTGCCACCCTTCTTACACACGTCCCCCTTCTTTCCCCCTGCTTCTCTTTGCATTTCCTCCCATTTATTACCAGTGTAAAGTCGAAGGAAGTAAGTTAAGTTAATGTGCTGTCGTTAAAACAAGGCATGAGCTGACCTTTAATCCCACCCAGCCTTTCTCAGCCCGGGGTAGCCCCTATTTGCTGAGTTTGGGTCCATTTGTGGAGAACAATGGATGGATTATTACATGCAGTGGTCCCCCAGGTTGGACAGGGCAGCAGTAATTAATTTTAAACACTCCTCATCCATCCCTGCAGACTTTAGGCATCTATTATAACTCACAGTAGACGAGGGACTCTCTTTACTGAGGCGCTGCCATTTAGAGGTGCGTGAGAAGAAGTTACGAGAGCGAATGGGCGCCGCTTTCGTGCGTCTGAATATATGCATGTGTTTTATTAAGCAGGCTGAAATTACCCTGAGAGCAGTCATGATAATGAGACATTCAAGGAGCACAGGGCAATTTGGAAAACCTCAGAGGTACACCAACACAACTCAACAACCCCGCTCAACCTCTCCCCCCCCCCCCCCCTCCACACCAGGTGGGAATAATATTCATTCCTCTACGATCCCCCCTGTTTCTATCACGGAAGTAATGTTACCACCATTGTAGCAATCCATGTTCCTCATCTATCAGCGCACAATGCTGACCCGGCGGGTTCAGGAGGAAACATTGGTGGAGAGGAATGTGTCAGACTTCACCCCTCCGAGGCGAAAGAAAGGAAAGGGCTGTAGCTGTGATAAGTAGTCATAATGGAGGTCAGTTGGTGTTTACTTTAGCAGGGTCATATAATCCCCGTGAGCAACACTGCCCTCATTGACTGACTTTAATGGCCTCTTCAATTAGCATTCATGTGGAGTTTCAACGAGGTATTGTCCGCTTTCAGTGTTTGTCATTTCCAGCTGTATGCTAATGCTTCAATGCACAGGAGGAGAATTTAGTTTTCTTCCTCTTTTCAAAACAAACAAACCCTATTGAATCACATGAAGGTCTGTGTGTGTACAATGCTTATTAGTTTGTTTGGGCAGTTGGCTCTGGGAGTGTTTTCAGACCACACACTCTCTTCCTGCTTGCTGAATGGATTTGGGGTCAGTTAAATAGAATTCCTTTTTGCTCTCATTAACCTGCCCAAAACCCATGGAGCTGCCTAGACAGTGCCTTCTGGAGGAGCCAGGCAAACACCATTCAGATGATAAATGTGACTCAATACACTTTATTTAACAGATGTGTGAAGAACAGATGTTTATGATTTCACATCAATTTGGGGATGACACTGGACGTTGTTAGAATCCACAGTTCAGGCTGCTGTGTTACAGCCTTGGACTGAGCGACTGGAAAGGGGCCTATATGGGGGGGCTGAGGGTCCGCCTTGCTGGAACCTTACAAGTGACCTTACAATAACAGTTCAGCCCCACAGTGGGAAGTGTTTGTCTTGCGCAACCCCTCTTTCAAAGCTTGCTTCATTTCTCCATTCTGCTCTGTTTTCTCTTTTCCTTTTGAGAAGTCATGGAGAGAGACGCCCCCCCTCCTCCCCCTCCTCCTCCTCCTTCTCCTCCATCTCCCACCTCACCGTTTTGTGCTCCACAGCTGTTCACTTTAGTGAAAGGATGAGTTTCCAATTGCTCTCCTTCTTCACTCGTCAAGAGGAGAAGCTGGTTTTGTTTTCCTGTTGATTTTAGCTTGTAGATTTAAGGTTTGGACCATGCATGTAGCTGCAGGCAGGACATGGAGAAATGGAAACTTTCATTATTTGTTGTTCTCCCTGCTCCTCCTTAAGGATTGTCTCTTGGACTCAAACAACCTTGTGAAACATGTACAAAACATGTACCGTGACAAGGTTTCGTTATGTCAGGAAAACACATCTATACTGTATTGGTGAGATGAGGGCCTTTAGGATGTTGCTTAGACTGAGCAGGTTGGGACAGGCTCAACAGTTGTCATTGTGATGTGAGTGAATAAAAGGCAGATTTTAACTGCAGAAATATTATCTGGCCCATCTTACTGTATGTGCTTGTTTGCTGTACTTGCCACAGCCTGCTTGAATGGGTTCTGCTGACTTCATCAAGATAACAAATCAGGCAGAAAGG